TGCAGGGCCTCCAGCCCGTTCCCCAGTAGCCCTGCTGGTGGCTGCCAGGGTGGTGCTGCTGAAGGTCGCCCTCTCCGATGCCCTCCTCACCTCCATCCTCCTCGCCCAGGGATGAAGGCCCTGGGCAACAGGGGCACCCCCGAGGGGTGAGTGTCACCCTCCCCGCCCCCTTTGGCCTGGGGGCCCAGGAGGAACCTGGAATGTTCTGGAGGGTGGAGAGGAGGGAGAGACCTGGGTGGGTGACCCCAAAATGCTGAGGGGGGGGGGAGGAAAGGACCCCAAATTATCCATGGGAAGGGGAGGGATCCCAAAGTATCCATGGGGAAGGAGGGGACCCTAAATTATCCAGGGGGAGGGAGGGGACCCCGAATTACCCATGGGGAAGGAGGGGACCCCAGATTATCCAGGGGGAGGGAGAGGACCCCAAATTCTCCATGAGGAGGGAGGGGATCCCAAATTATCTGCAGGGAGGGAGGGGACCCCGAATTATCCACGGGGAGGGAGGGGACCCCGAATTACCTATGGGGAAGGAGGGGATCCCGAATTATTCAGGGTGAAGGAGGGGACCCCGAATTACCCAGGGGGAAGGAGGGGACCCCAGATTATCCAGGGGGAGGGAGAGGACCCCAAATTCTCCATGAGGAGGGAGGGGACCCTGAATTATCCATGGAGAGGGGACCCCAAGTTATCCATGGGGAGGGAGGGGATCCTGAGTTATCCAGGGTGAAGGAGGGGACCCCAAATTCTCCATGAGGAGGGAGAGGACCCCAAATTCTCCATGAGGAGGGAGGGGATCCCAAATTATCTGCAGGGAGGGAGGGGACCCCGAATTATCCAGGGGCAAGGAGGGGACCCCGAATTCACCATGGGGAGGGAGGGGATCCCAAATTATTTGCAGGGAGGGAAGGGACCCCAAATTATCCACGGGGAGGGAGGGGACCCCGAATTATCCAGGGGCAAGGAGGGGACCCCGAATTCTCCATGGGGAGGGAGGGGATCCCGAGTTCTCCATGGGGAGGGAGGATCCCCCAAGTGCCCTGTGGGGTCGGGAGGGGATCCCAGGGGCAGGGAGGGCCCGGGAGGGCTGCGGGGGAGGT